AGTAGAAAGCGAGAAGCTAGCTTATTAAATCATCCCGAGAGCTCATTCGGCGCAGGAAATCCGAAGGACTAGGGAACTCGACAAGCGTACACACAAACTAGTCAGTGTGGTCGCGAGGGTGAGTGAAGCCACCTCACCACGCCTGCCCACGCACCTCCGAGTGCCTCGAGTCGTCGCGCCTCCCCTTGTCGCGCCTCCCTTTGTCGCGCCTCCCTTCCCATCGTCGCGCCATCCCTTGTCGCGCCTCCCTTCCTTTCGTCGCACCTCCCCTCGTCGCTCTTCCCCTCCCGTCGTCGCGCTTCCCCTCCTTTCGTCGCGATTTCCACCCTCGTCGCGCCTCCTCTTCGCCCGCCCTTCTCTCATCTGCCCATCCCGTGCCTTCCCTTCCCTTTCCTCTTGTTACCTTTCCCTTCCCATCCCTCCAAGGCGAAGTTAAACAATCTTCCCCCCACATCCTCTTCCCCACCCTCTCCTTCCTTGCCCAACCCTGCTTCCCCTCATTTCCCCACACGTGATTCGCTGGCTGTTCCCAGCCGTCCACGTGACGTGCTCATCCGGGTGCATGGTTTAAATCTTCAGGTGGGGGAGCGCCTGGCTTTCCTCAGCAGCAAGCCCGCCTGCCCGTACTGTGGGGGCCCCGAAACGCTGGAGCATTGCCTCTTGCTCTGCCCACGGGTTCAGGTGGTCACCTCGGCGCTCAGGCGTGCTCTCCGCATGCTAAATCCTGGTCGTTCATCAGTCTCGTTGTTCCGGAAAACCAGGACCAGCTCAGCGTTCCAGGAGCTGACTCTCACCTCAATTGTTTTTCATCAGCTGTGGCTTGAGAGGTGCGAAGCGGTGTTCAGGGGTAAAAAAATTCGGACGCAACGGGTTTTACGGAAAGTGGAGTTCGCTTTCAGGCAGCATGCGCGCATTTATGTTCGCAAGTTTGCGGCTACACGTCGGAAGAGGCAGCAGGAAATTTTCGTGGAGGAGCAGAGGATGCTGAGGAGGATGAAGCCGGATGGCAGAAGTTGGACATGGACAAATGCATTTGCTGCACTTTGGTCCAATCGGAGGGCGAGCATCACCCCGCCCTAGGCAGCTTTGTTTGGAACAGTAGCTGGTCTGCTGTTTCTCACGCACGGTTACGACCGATTTTGGTAGTAGTATATGCTTGTACATTTCGGTATATACCTATCAATTACCATTAAAAAAGGGAAATGATTCCCCTCATTTCCCCCTGATTCCCCTTATTTCCCCCCCTGATTCCCCTCATTCCCCCCTCTGCCCCCCCTCATTTCCCCCCCTGCTTCCCCTCATTCCCCCCTCTGCTCCCCCTCATTTCCCACCCTGATTCCCCTCATCCTCCCCACTCTCCTTCCCCTGCTGCTTCTCATTTCCCCTATTCCCGTTCCCCCCTCGTCCTATCTCCTCCCTTCCATATCTCCTATCGTCTCCCTGCCCCATCGTCCCTGTCTCCCCTCTTCCTTGTTTCCCCTCTTCCCTATCCTATCCCCCCCCATCCCTCCTTCCCCTCTTCCTATCTCCTCTCTTCCCTCTCCACCCTCTTCTTATGGCCTCCTTTCCCTCCCGCCCTTTTTCCCTTCTCCTCCTTTCCCTCTCCTTCCTCTTCCTATCTCCTCTTTACCCTCTCCCCCCTCTTCCTAGTTCCTCCCTTCACTCTCCCCGCATTTCTCCTCTCCCCCTTTCCCTCTCCCCTCTCTTTCTATCTCCAACCTTCCCTCTCCCTCCTCTTCCTATCTCCTCTTTACCCTCTCCCTCTTCTTATCACCTCTTTACCCTCTCCCCCCTCTTCCTACCTCCTCTTTACCCTTTACCCCTTCTCCCTAATTCCTCACTTCCATCTCCCCGCTTTTCTTGTCTCCCCCTTTCCCTCTCCCCCCTCTTCCTTTTTCCCCTGTTTTCTCTTCCCCCTCTTCCTATCTTCTCCCTTCCCTCTCCTCCCTCTTCCCTGTCTCCCCTCTTCCCTATCTCCTTCCTTCCCCATTTTTCCTCTCCTCTGTCCGCTTGACTTCGCCTTGTGGCATCACATCACATCACATCACATCACATCACATCACATCACGTCACGTCACGTCACGTCACGTCACACCACACCACACCACACCACACCACACCACACCACACCACACCACACCACACCACACCCTATGCTTGAACATGCACACCCACTTACTGAAGTTGATGGAAGCAGGGCCTCCGCAGCCCACCTGTCCATTCTTGACTTCCTCTTGTGCTTGTGCTTCACATGACATCCTACGCGTCAATTCAACCATGACCATTTTCTTATCCCCCCTTCCCCGCCCTCGCATTCTCTCTCTGGCTAGTTTCACGACCACTCTGAGGAGTTTGCTTGCGTCAACTCGCCTCGCCTCACCCCATCATCCCAAGACAAGGCATGCTCGCTGAGTGGCAAACCAGCGCCAGTCAGTCCCATAAGCTTTCCCAACCGTGCGCAACTGGTGCTCGCTCAATTGCACCACGCGCAACCGCCGTGGCGACCTTGAGGCTCGCGGTGAGAACCTAACCTAGACGAGCGACTGTGTCCGATTTCATGCACCACCACTTAAAGCCTGGAGGCTGCCTGTTCAATCTCTCATAAAGTCAAAGCTTGAAAATCCGTTTGTCGAGCGCATTGCTGCCTTTCGCAGCACTGATCACAAGGCTGCTGAATTGTGGTCTCGTGTGTGAGCCGTACGGTACGCGGGATCTACTAGGGCTGGCTGGCTGGGCCGGTCGACCACTGTCATTGTTCCGGCCAGTCTTATTTGTTGACGCGCTGCGGTATCACCGTCAGCAGTGTGTGTGGGTCACAGTTTAGGCCGGCACTCCCACGTTCCTCCGTTCCCGTATTCGGCTGCTTCCGTTTTAGTACTTTCCATTACTCTCATCCTTCCCTCCCTCTCACCTCCATGGCTCTCTCTCTCTCTCTCTTCTCTTTCCTCCTTCCTTCGACACACCTACTCGCTTCTTCATACACCCCTCCCCTTCCGCTCTCCTCCTCAGCAGTAGGATCCTCTTACCATTCTCCCAACCTTGATCCCACCCGCTTCAATCACATCTCCCTCCCATACCTCATTCCACCAACCGCATTCGCATCCTTCTTTCCACCCACTCGCTCTCCTATCCCTCTTCGTCCCAGAACCAATCGCAGCGCTGCGTGCGATCTGATCCGCCACAGAGCACTCTCAAGTGCTCTGAGCACTCTGCACCGCTCTGAACCACGCCAAGTCCCCTCCCGCCGGGCAGCCATGGCGACTTCAGTGCTGAGCCTTCTCGATCGAAGCCCAGACGACCCCGTCGCCACTCAGCTCCTAGCCACCCTCGCAAGCAGCAGTAACGGCACCAGTAGCAGCGGCACAGGCAGCAGCACAAGCAGCGGCAATGGCAACACCGCAGGGGGTGCGAGCAGTCCCTTGGAGGCGGAGAGGAAGGCGTTTCCAGCAGTGAGGGGGCGGGCAGAGTGCGAGTATGTGAACTACAAGGCGATGGGGCTGTCACTGTGTGTGGAGGAGGGCAGGGTAGCAGCCGTGCACGTGTACAGCAACGTGCATGGGTACAAGGCGTTCGCTGGGGCGCTTCCGTTCAGTCTTAAGTGAGTGTGTAGCTCTCAGATAATGCTCATGTAGCCGTGCACGGGTACAAGGCGTTCTCTTGGACCCTCTCCGTGGAACTCAAGTGAGTGCATGTACGACTCACGTCACATGTATGTCACTTGCCAAATGCTGGGAGGGTGGCGGCCGTGCACGGGTACAGCGATGTGCACGGGTACAAGGCATGCACGGGTACAAGGCGTGCACGGGTACAAGGCGTTCTATTGGTCGCTTCCATTCGGACTCATGTAAGTGAGGCGCGTTCCAGCCAAGTTGCATGGATGTAGCACGCAAATTACATGCTTTTGACGCATGCAAAGAGCTGAGAGGGTAGCAGTGGTGCACGTACACAGTGATGTGCATGGGTACAATCATGTGCATGTGTACCGTGACAGCGCTGCAATATACACTCCTTCATTTCTCTCCCCTCTCTAAGATTGAGCATGAAGGCCAGGGAAGGGGTGAAGGCACTGGGGAAGCCGGGCTTGCAAGTGGGGAAGGGAGGTAGCAGCAACAGCCCCCATACTAGGCCTCATACCCACACCTCATCTCGCACTTCTCCTCTCCTCCCCTCTCCTTCCTCCCCTCCCCTCACCTTCCATCTCCCAGGGTGACCATATATGCCAGGGAGCGGGTGGTGCAAGCAAAAGCAAGGGGGAAACAGATGTGGGAAGCGCAGGGGGGGGGCCATTGCTGTCGCAACTCATGCCCTTCTCCCAATCATTCGATCCTCACCTCCACTCCCCATGCAGTCATACCTTCTCCCCTCCTCCCGGACTGAGCATGAATACCAGGGGGGTGGTGGCAGCACTGGGGAAACCGGACGTGAAAAGCAGGGGGGACAGCAGTGGGGACCATAGTATCCCTCATACCCGCACCTCAACTCACACTTTTCCACTCCTCCCCCCTCCTTCCCTCTCCCATCCTCCCAGGGTGAGCATGAAAGCCAAGGAGGTGGTGGCGGTACTAGGGGAACCAGACGTGAAAGCAGGGGGGGGCAGCAGCGGGGCAGTGACGGTGATATACTCACAGCTGAAGCCGGCACTGCAGCGAGACATTGGGCTGCAGGTCATGTTTGTGGGGCGCAGCTGGGAGGACGCTGACAACACTATAGACTGCATCACTTTGTACCTGACAACGGATAAGTCATGACTGAAATTTAAAGGAAAAGTGAAATTCATTGAGAAAATAATTAAACACAAAACAGCTGCAATGCTTTGTTTACTGTAGCACCACACCTCACTCTTCACACTAGCCTGCTGAACCCACTGCTTCAGCAACATTGACCTACCAAGCCCCCAACCCTTCTTCAAGCACCCAGAAACAGCAGACACAACCTTCTACACAAACCCCTTCACATGAACAGAGCAGCATGTGAGTTCATTGATGAATGACTGACTGCATCTAGCACCACGTTCCGGCCATCACAACCTGAGCCTGCAGGCCGCGCTGCCTGAGCATGCCAGCGAGCGTGTTGAAGACGGACTGGCCGATCTTCTTGATCACGGCCGTCACAAACGTGTTGAGCGACCGCACATCCTTCACCCCGCTCACCCCCACGCCCAGCGCCGAGTTGTAAAACTGAACCGCCGAGTCGGTGGGCGCAGCCTTGCACTTGATCCAGTCGAGCAGGTACGTCTTGACGCACTTGGGGTTGCGGCGGTTGTTGGCCGCCATGAGCACGTAGTCCTGGAAGGAGGTGGTGGAGCCGGGCGTGCCGGGGCCCCACACGGCCAGCACGCTGCTGCGCACGTCGCTGGACGCCTGCACGCTGTTCCACAGCGCCTGCGAGCTGCAGTCGTCCTTGATCCACCACGCGTACCACCTGCACGCAAAGCAGGCGGAGGGAGGGGGAGGGGGAGAGGGGAACGGGAAGGGGGAAAGGGGAGGGGGGAAAGGAGAGGGGAGGGAGAGGAGGTCAGGGAGGGTGGGGGGGAAGGGGGAGCATGGGACACTGCACGCCTTGATGGGTCTTGAAGCTGCAGTCGTCCTTGATCCACCACGCGTACCACCTGCAGGCGCAGCAGGCGCGGGTGAAGCAGCACACACCACACGGAAAACGCACAACTTACCAGAATCACAGTCGATCTGCCAAACAAGCACAAAACTGTTAGTTTTGGGAGGCTCACCTGCTGGCGTAGCAGGGAGGGGCCACCGTCTCGCAGTCGGCGCACGAGCACGTCTGCGCGAGGATCGCGGAGGCCTGAAGCGCGACGACGACGGCGAAGAGGAGCTTAGCAGGAGCCATTGTTGAGAGCGGCACGGGTCGATCAGCAGACGGAGGAATTAGGGTAACCCGAGATAAGGACTGCAAGAGCCTAGCTTTGTAGTGGGTGAGAGGAATCAGGATAAGTAGTAGTAGAGCGAATAGCTTGCGATGGTTGGCTCTAGCTTTGGCTTGGATCTTATACCCGCATTACTACTCGCACTACGCCTGGCTGCCATTGGAAAGCGGTCGGCTCGGAGCATGCTGGACACGATGTTCCGATCCTGGCTTAGATCGCCGAGTAGACTTGGACGACTCATCCTATGCCTCGCTGTGCGGAATGGTAGTTAACACGATTTGCTGTGCTGTACACGTTAGGTGCTGCGTTGTCTTGCGGCTAGCAGCGAAATTTCACAGCGGACACCCCGTAAGTCGTGAACCACCGATTCTTCGCCGGCGTTTCCCACCGGGTTGACTCGGCGAGGATGACAGCAAAGCAGTGGCATGCGAATCAGAGTTCGAGGCATTATTTGTCATAAGAAACGAGCGGAAGAGCGAGAATGGAGAGAAAGTGATAGGAGACGAGAAGCGAGGAGAATAGAGAATGTCTAGGAGAGAGGAAGCAACAGGAGCGACAGGAGCGGAGGGGACAGGACTCCACGTGCTCCGACAGGGCCCAACGACTAGTTGGTTTGGCTGGTCCCGCCGAGTCGTGCACGGGGAAATAAGGGTCAAACGGGTAAACAGGAATCGAGGTGGCTGACTCTGCCCGCGAAACGCGGTACTGCTGTGTGCGCTGGCACGGAAGGTAGAAAACACTGAAGAGTGAGTGATGATTCGCGAAATTAGGATTTCGATCAGCACATGAGTGAAAAGGAAAATGTAAAACATAAACCATTCTTTTTCAGCTACAAAATCAAAGTCCTAAATGGTTTTCTAGTTATAGAAATTCAGATGACCAGAGAAACTTAGTATGCTCAGGGGAATCGCCCTCTTTTGAACCTAGCCAACCAAAAATAAGCACACAATTGTCTACGTATATAAAAAAACAAAATAATCAATTTCATTTATGCGAAGGAACGTTGACAGATACTTATGGCTTCTATCAATCAATCCCTTGTGGTTTCCAGCATTAAGCTAATGCTAGCAATGCAATTGGATTGATAAAACCATATCAATATTGTTACGATCAGTAAGTTGATCGTGCCAGGATGTGATAATAACAAAAGCATACATCGGTTTATACAAAGAATACAGAGATACGAAACGACCTAGTCTATCCATGTACTCTTAGGGGTACATTCCCTTATTGCAGTGAAACTCTGCGGAGAGTCACACTACACCGGGAGCTGGACTACGGGGAAGGCATCGGTGTTATGAGTGATCGTAGCTTTGCCTGCGTTCTCTAGCACTTGTGCATCCACACAGAGAATTGACAAGAGTTTCACTACCAAATTTGGATTGTTGGAATAACCGAAAGGTTATCATAACATTCCCGAAGGCTCTCCACTCGCGCGTCAGTCCGTAACGAAGCAACGCGCCTGTATCAGTATCGCAATAGCTCATATAGAGCATGCGGAAGGTCGAGGGTCACCCGAAGGTCAACAGTCGAAGACAGTCAACAGTCGTGACCCTTAACTGCCTTGTAACCGCACTTGGTAGTTACGCGCTGCAACATGGTAACTGTCAAGAATAGCAATAGTCGTGGTTACTGTAGCGATGTAATTCGGTTAATAAGGGAATGTACCCCTCAGAGTACATGGCTAGCTAGGATCGCTATTTATTCCTTGTATCACTATCCTTAATCATCTTGTTCTCTTTCAATCTTATCAACAAGGTCATTCAGAGACTTTATAGTCTTTCCTTAAACTTAACAGCCTTATCCTGTCCACTACGATCCTTCACCTATAACATCATGGTATGAGAGCTAGAGTGGATTGTCAGAATATTATAGCTCATGCATATTGTGTAGGCTATAGTGGGGTAGCCCATAAGGGGTACAACCCAATTAGGGTTAGTACTTGTACCCAATTCATTCATAGTTCATTCATTCCTTGTTTCTTATCATGGTATCGAGCAGGTTCCCTCGTGGGAACTGTTCCTAGGGCCCACCGTTTTTTTTTTTTTCCTGCCCGGAGCGCACTCAGCCCCTGCCCGAGTCGCGCTCCCCTCTCTCGCGCCGCCCTAGCGGCCCCTTCGCGCCGCCCTCGCGGCCCCTTCGAGCCGCCCTCGCGGCTCTGTCGCCCTACCCTAGCGACCCCGCGGCCCCACCCTCGCGGCGCCGGCCGCCTCCCTTCGCGGCCCCGATCCGCCGCCCTCGCGGCCCCCCCTACTCCGCCGCCCTTCGCGGCCCCTACTCCGCCGCCCTCGCGGCCCCGATCCGCCGCCCTCGCGGCCCCGATCCGCCGCCCTCGCGGCCCCGCTCCGCCGCCCTCGCGGCCCCGATCCGCCGCCCTTCGCGGCCCCGATCCGCCGCCCTCGCGGCCCCTACTCCGCCGCCCTCGCGGCCCCGATCCGCCGCCCTCGCGGCCCCGATCCGCCGCCCTCGCGGCCCCTACTCCGCCGCCCTCGCGGCCCCTACTCCGCCGCCCTCGCGGCCCCGATCCGCCGCCCTCGCGGCCCCGATCCGCCGCCCTAGCGGCCCCGGCCCCTGCTCCTACGGCCCCGGCGCCTGCTCCTACGGCCCCCACGCCTACTCCTACGAGCAGCCCAGCCGCCGAGCCGCCCAGCAACCGAGCAGCCCAGCCGCTGAGCCGCCGAGCCGCCCAGCAACCGAGCCGCCCAGCCGCCGAGCCGCCCAGCAGCCGAGCCGCCCAGCAGCCGAGCCGCCCAGCCGCCGATACGCCCAGCAGCCGAGCCGCCCAGCAGCCGAGCCGCCCAGCCGCCGAGCCGCCCAGCAGCCGAGCCGCCCAGCAGCCGAGCAGCCGAGCCGCCCAGCAGCCGAGCCGCCCAGCCGTCGAGTCGCCGAGCCGCCCTGCAGCCGAGCCGCCCGAGCCGCCCTGTCCGGTAAGAGCAGCGCCTCTCTCACAGCACTGCCCTCACCCTACTGTTTGCACTGCTAGTCTACTGCTGTCATGGCTACCCCTAGTGTCCTCGCTTTTGACGCTGAGGGTCGGGCCATTGACTTTGAAGTCTGGATAGATGACCTGCAGCTTTTCTTACAGTGCGATAGGGCAGACGGCCTCTCCCTCTTTGACCTCACTTCTGGTGCCTCTCCTGCCCCCGCTGCTGATGCTGACGCCACTGTTCGCTCACAGTGGGCCACGCGCGATGCTGCTGCACGTCTTGCTGTGCGTCGCCACCTACCTACCTCTGAGCGTGCGCACTTTAGCCAGTACAAGAGTGCTCAGACCTTGTACGATGCTGTAGTTGCACGCTACTCCTCCCCTGCCACTGCTGCACTGAGCCGCCTCATGCTACCGTACCTCTTCCCTGACCTTGCTGCCTTTCCCACAGTCGCTGACCTCATTACGCACCTCCGCACTAGTGACACTCGCTACCGCGCTGCGCTTCCTGCTGAGTTCTGCGCCAAGAACCCCCCCCCCATGTACATCACCCTCTACTACATAGTCACCCGTCTCCCTGACTCCCTTCGCGTAGTCAGGGACCACTTCCTCTCGGTTTGCCCCACCACTCTCACCGTTGACCTCCTCGAGAAGGCCCTCCTAGCAGCAGAAAAGAGCATAGTCGCTGTAGGAGCCTCTCGTGGTGACCCTCGCACCCCCATCTTTGAGGGGTGTTCCCCCTCCCCTCTTTTGCCCTCTGTTGCCTCTGTTGCTGCGGCCGACCTCGCTGGTTTGGAGTCGGTTGGGGCAGCGTCTACCCCTAGCGGGAGACGCCGCCCTGGCAAGGGCAAGGGGGGCAGGGGCGCTGGAGGAGCTAGCGGGGGCGGTGGAGGCGGCGGTGGAGGCGGTGGAGGAGGTGGGGGTGGCGGTGGGGGTGGTGGCGGGGGTGGAGGTGTAGGTGGCGGCAGTGGAGGCGCAGGCGGCAGCGGCGGTGGCGGAGGGAGCGGAGGTGGCGGCGGTGGAGGAGGAGGCGGCGGAGGAGGTGGAGCTGGTCGGGGTGGCGCTGCGCAGAGGGTCGGCTCCGGTGGTGGTCAGCGCCAGCAGCAGCAGCAGCAGCAGCGCACTCGTGACGTCCCCTCCCCTCAGCAGCTCCGTGAGTGGTACACTGCACGCCAAAGGGGTGGGGGTACTGGTCCGTGCACCTACGTCCTGCGCACCGGCGACCGCGCGGGTGAGCAGTGCGGGGGTGCGCACTCCACCCAGCGCTGCTTTGGCCGCCTGACGGACGCTTGGCGTCACCAGTTCCCTGAGGCCACTGAGATCCCCCGCTGGGGTGAGCTGTCTAGGGCGGGTGTAGCTGTCTTTGACCTTGACTTTGATGCTATTCTTGCTGCCATGTATACTGTGACTATTAGTGATGAGGGTGACTGTTACCGGTGTTTTCCGCCCGACCCGGGCATTGAGACTGCTGCTCTAGGTACTGGTGAGGCTGCTGCTCTAGGTGCTAGCGAGGCTGCTGCTCTAGGTGCGTCTGCTCCCTCAGGTACTGGTGAGTCTGCTCTCTCAGGTTCTGCGTCGGCTTCGGCCTCCCACACCTTCACCCTTGACTCGGGGGCTTCTCGCTCCTTCTTTCGAGACCGCACCACACTCACGCCGCTTGGCCGGCCAGTTGCGGTCTCTCTGGCAGACCCCTTTGGGGGTCCTGTCCTTGCTCACTTCTCCACTGTCCTCCCGTGTCCGGCGGCCCCCTCTGGCACCCTGTCTGGTCTTTACCTCCCCTCGTTCTCTACGAACTTGGTGAGTGGTGCTGACCTACAGGATGCGGGGGTTCACCAGTTCACTCCTGCGAGTCAGCGGGTGACCCACTGTACGGACGCTCGGACAGGCCGACACCTGGCCACGTTTACACGTCGGCCGGGGTCGAGCCTGTACACACTGACCACTGCGCCTCCCCCAGTCCCTGCGTCTGGTCAGGTAGCTGCGTCGGGTCAGGTGTTTGCTGCAGCGTCCAGGTCTGGTCCTGAGTCTGCCCCCTGCTCGTGTCGCCTCCTGTCTCACGAGACTCTCCTCTGGCACCACCGCCTTGGTCACCCCTCCCTGCTTCGTCTCCGGAGCATGGCCTCCCGTGTCCTTGTCTCTGGTCTTCCCCGGTCCCTCCCTCCACTTCCTCCGGGGCCTGGCCCTACCTGCGTCCCCTGTGTCGAGGGATGACAGCGGGCTACCCCTCACTCCTC